ATTTATTGAGATCCTGTCCCCAAAACTTAAAAAAAAAAAAAAAGGGGGGAAGGCAACCAGGTTCAATCCCTAGAATTGCACTAAAAACGAAACAAAAACAAAAAAAGACCACTTCTGTCACAATGTTCAGTATATCAAATAAAAGTTTAAAAACACATATTTGAACACCCTGCTGCAACCAAAACTGGTAGTTTATTTTAATGCCCTACTAAAGTTAGGAAAAAAAAACACTCATCTTCCCCTACACCTGATGGTTTTCATTAGAGATTTTTATCAGGAAGTTGAGATAAAAAGTAGCTGCTTGAAACTCATCAAGTCTAAAATCATTTGATTTCAAAACAAGACTTGGACAGCCAAAATTTTTCTTAGTGCTTTCTCTAGTGCCCTCTGCAGGCACTAAAGATGAAAACGCAAAGAAAAATGTACTCTGCAGTGATCACAAATTCCTCACACACTAGAAATACAGTAAAGCTGTCTAACGCTAAGCTCAGCTTGCTGAAGTCAGAAATGCATCTAAACAGCTACCTAATGCACCACTTGAACACAGTTTCACCAAAGAAAACTGCAATACTCGCATTTTTCACTAAGAGCCATAAAATTGCACGCATTTTGGCAGTTTTATCAATTAAGAAAAGCAGCCGGGCGTGGTGGAGCACACCTGTAATCACAGCACCAAGAGGTTGAGATAGGAGGACCACTACAAGTTCAAGGCCAGCCTGGCTCCACAGGCATGCAAGGCTAGCATGGACTACATAGCGAGACCCTGCCTCAAAACGCAAACAGACTCACAAAGTATAACCAGTGAAAATATCCATGCTTTTAAAAAGGACAAAAAGCAAGGCTAACAGACAAAGCTAATTCCAACAGAACACCTGAAAAGAGCCGAAATGAGCAACTCCACTGCCTAGGCATACTCACTTTCATTCCAGCTTCTGGAGCTGACAAATACTGCACACAACAACCCGCAAGGCTCATGGAGGTCTGAGTCTCAGGCTCCAAGACAAGGGGGCTAAGGATATCTCCAGGGAACACCCAGCTCCAAACTGGCTGGCCAGTCCTTGAACTCACTTTCCACACACTCATCTTTCTTTTTATTAGAGGAGGTCTTGCTATGTTGCCCAGGCTGGTCTCAAACTCCTGGGCCAAGCAATCCTCTTGCCTCAGTTTCCCCAGTGCTGTGATTTGTCTTTCTTAACAGTTCCTTTTCCAGGGCTTCTAAAATACAAAAGCTACAGTACTAAAAAATTATAAAGACAATATCAACACATGCAAGAATTAGAAAATAAGTAACAAAATGCTAAAACAAGGACACAAATTTTAAATTCAGAAAAGAACTTCTGGATATGGTGACAGGTAAAGTAGGTTGCTAACTTGATTGGCTTGGGATGGCCCAAGGACTTAGGAAAGATACTCTAGTGTGTCTGGGTGTACATGGGCAGTTGTGCAGACACAATCCTCCACACCCTTCTGCCACCATGTTCCTGCCTGGAGCCAGCTGACCATGGACTGAGCCTCCTGAAAACAGGAGCCAAAATAAGCCTTTAAGTTGGGGGGCTGGGCACTGTTTCTCAGCAAGCAGAAAGCTGGCCAATATTATATCTTATACCAAGTGTTTTTTGTTGTTAGTTTTTTGGGGTTTTTTCCTTGAGTTATGAGCTTTACATAAGAATCCAAAGCCAAGGATGTAGCTCAGTGGAACAGTGCCTCTCTGGCAAGTACATGGTCCTGCGTTTGATTCCCAGTACAAAAAAAAAAAAAACAGAACAAAAGAATCAAAGCAATCTAATATAAAAATGAATGAAAGATGGCATATACTACAAAGATGGCAGGCCTATGTCTTCAGTGCCTCAGAAATTCCCAAACAGACAGAGTGTCTTTGTTACTGATGGTGGGCCACGTGGTCGTGAACACAATAAGGCGTCTCACTATGGAGTCCTACGGCCATGTGGTATCAGCCCAAACTCAAAGGGTGGCTGCCCAAGACCAGGTGTCAAACTACAATCAGCAGTGTCCAAGTGAACGCCCCAGTGAAGACTGGATGCTGAAGTTCAAGTGAGCTCCCCCAGCTGGCAGGACTCCATACACATGGTCACAGATCAACCCATGCTGGGGGGGGGGGGGGTCCTGTGTCCCAAGGAACAATGGGACCTTCCCAAACTTTGCCCTGTCTACACTACCGATGGCTGGTTTCCTATATCTAACCTTGAGTTAGTTTTCGGTTAGCTCTTCACGTGAGTCTTTCCAACAAATTATCAAATCTGAGGGTGTTTCAAGGACCCCAACACACTTGCAGGTGGTGTCAAGGTGACTGCAGTCTTGGGGAGAGGGCAGGGAGGCCTTGTAGCTTGTCTCTTTCCATCTTCAGGAAGATGGAAAGAGAATTCAGAAAAAAGAGGGGTGAGCAATTTGGCATACGAAAACATTCAAATTCACTCAAAATTAAAGATATGCCAAGTTAAATTTGGGTACTATTTTTCACCTGTCAGATTGGCAGTTAAAAGATTTCCAACATCTAAGGAGTACAGAAATAGTTATTCTCGTGTATCTTGTACAATGTAAGCAGAAATAACATGTTTTGAACTTTTTAAAGGGCAATTTGAAAATATCGTAACTACAAAATTCCCTTTGACTCAAGAACTTCATTTGTAGGAATTTATTCTTCTGATAAATTTATACCAGCCAAAACGAAATAACCAAGTGTTCACTACAGAAATTAGATGCAGGGCATGGTGGTTCACACCTGTAATGTCAGCACTGGGGAGGGTGAGGCAGGAGTGCTGCAAGTTCTAGACCAGCCTGGGCTCAAAGTGAGCTCAAGGCCAGCCTGAACTGCATATTCAAACCTTGACTCAAAAAGACAAAAAGAAAAAAAATTATTGTTTTTTTTTCCAGAAAATTCATGCTTTGGTTTTAATTTCCATTTCTCCCTAAAGTAAGGACCCACACTTGCTGGTGAGAACACCTGAAATACATCCTTAAATCCTGTAGAATCCATCTCTGCACACAAGAGCCTGACCCTACAGAACAGTAACACCACAATTACAACCAAAAACGTTCACAAAGTTTACCACTGTCTAAGAAAAAGTCCACTTCAAACTCCCACACGCCTGGACAGCGGCCTTTCCTCTTCTGGAAGCAAAGTGTAGCTGTGCATTTGGCTGTTCCCTTGACATCTTTAATCCCAGAAGGGCTCCTCTCGGCTTGGGTCCTATGTCCTTGTTTAGGATGCCGACATCTAAAGACTCATCTGGCCCGCTTGCGGCATCTGTCCTACTGTTTCTCCAGGACTCGGCTCTGTCCTGACATTTTCATACAGCACACACGAGATCGTGCTGCGCGTCACCTCAGGGCTCACGTGAGGTCAAGTTTTACTACAATAATCATGCTAGATTTGATTACTTAGTATATGTGGAAATCGTGTGAGCTCTCAATTTATGAACATTTTTCCCTTTATAATTAGTAAATAATCTGGGGCTTGGGGTGTGTGTCCACTTATTTTTGTCATTTCTAGGTGGTTTTCTATTGGGGATGATAATCTTAGACATTACATCTGCTTCCCTGAAGATACTCCACCCAAAGCCCTGCGTAGGTCAGTCATGACAGTAGCAACCACAGCATGACTTCTGTGTCTACCCTGGAAACACTCTTCTCTCAGTCCCTCTGGGAGCCACACAAGGACTCCACGTGGGACTCTGCCACCTGCCCCTCTGTGAAGCAGTTCTGAAGTCTTCCAAGCCTTTCATCGCACTACTGTGGCTCCTCCCACATCCTGAATCAATTCAAAGAATTTCGCTCTCCTGGTCAGTTTTGACTCTGAAGAGCTGTAAGCTGCATGGCGCAGGCCCAGTGATGGAGATGGCCGAGGACACAGCGTCCCATTTTACAAGCCTGCCTTCCCACCGAGTGGTGTGTGCCTGCACCAGTCACCACATTTGTGACCACACTTGGTAAAAACACTTGCAAAAGAGGACTCCAGAACTGCATCAGAAAGTAGGAGGAACAGGGTAAGTGGGCTCAAAGTGAGGAGGGGATTCTCAGGGAGATTAATGGCAATCTTTCTTTTACTGTCCTTTTTTACTATTTACTGTTCGTGCTGTTCAAGTCTACTCCGATATCTTTCAGGAATATATTAGTTTGCTGAAATAAGTTTAAGACCTCTTTTTAAACTGATCCTTACGCAATTATGTACAGTACCTTTCATGTGGCTACCGTATATGACATCATCTATTCCATCCAAACGGAAACTGGCTATTACTTAGAAACAAAAAGGCTATCGGCTTTTCACCTTACTATATCCTGCCACTTACTGAATCCTTTGGATTTACCTAAGTTTTTATCATTCACTTTCCCCAGATTTTTTTTTTTCCAGTACCAGGATCAAACTCGGGACCTTGTGCTTGCCAGGCAGGCGCTTATGCTGCTGCACTATCTCCCCAGCCCTCCCCAGATTTTCAAAATTTTATTTCATTCTTGTTCCAAGGCTTAACATGGACTTCATATATCAGTTTAAAGAATCTCATTTTCCCAAAACTCATACTTATATGAGATTTTAAATATTATATTATTATTTCAATTTCATGTCATTGGCCTCTGTATAAAACCCCACCTCGCTGTGCATTCTCACGTTACCTCACAGAAGCCACCAACGTACCCCAGGCTCCCAGCACAAACCAGACTCAATTTGCACGAAGAAGCAAAGTGACACCAGAACCTCTTGGAATCACCATGAAAAATCCTATCACGCACCTTCACACTCCCTGGACAAAATCTCAACAGCCACGCCCCCTGCCTTGGCCTAAAATTTGTATATCCTCTTAGTCTTTTTCTCACAAAGCCGAGAGGAGTTTCACAAAGCTCATGTAAATATGGCAAAAAAAGGAAATTAGAAATCTTTCAGGACAGACAGAAGCTAGAAAACTTAAACTACTGTGAGCTCGGACAGACTCCATGCACAGAATACAGAATGTTACCCAGCTGCAGATTTCCCGAAACAATGATACCTTTTCTTTCTTCGTGTGACTCATAATTTTGCCAAGATCTTCGACATCAACAATGGAGTTTAGTCCCGGATGGCCACCAGGCTCCAGGTCTTCCTCACTGGAGCTCTCGCAGGGCTCTTGCTCCTGAAAAGAAATGCTTCACAGCACCATGTAAGGGACACAGGCAAGTCCTCTCATTCCCTCCCACACTGAGCTTGCTGCTGCTAAATTTTTAATTCCAAGCCTGCAAAGTTATGCACATTGTCCTAGGGACAGAGTTTAAGACCTCAACTTCCACCATACCTGTAATCCTAGCCTTCTGGCAAGCAGAAGCAGGAGGATTGCAAGTTCAAGCTTAGAAACTGAGTGAGACCCTGTCTCAAGATGCAAACCTAAAACAAAACGGGGCCTGGGTTGGATCCCCAGGACTCCCCCCACCAATGGGAAAAAAATTAATAAAAATAATTATGTTTTAGTTTAAAAATAAAACCATGTTGGATCTCTGGCATCTTGGGCCTTTACCATAGAGTAATCACTGAGAAAAGGTGTCAGTGAGAACAACTAATAGCTCACCTGCCCAGGGAGTGGGAAGAAGACATGGATGAAGAAGAAATAGAAAAAAACCCTACATGGTTTGTGCCTAAAGGTCCCCTCACAGCCTCATGCAGCTATGGGGGTGGGTTCTAGAGTTTGTGATTGGTTCATGGTCCAAAGCCAGGATTATGGGTGTGAGTGCTGCACCTCCCCTGGGACGGGCAGCCTGAATACATAAGGGAGAGAGGATCGCTCTCTGCCCCGTGCCTCCATCCTTACTCTTGCAGCTTTGCTGTCTTCCACTTCCATGAACTGCTGCCCCTTTGCCACGTCACCCTGCCTTGAAGCCAACTGACTAGAGATTGAAACCTCCACAAACTGTGAGCTAAATAAATCTTTCCTTCCTTAATTTTGTGCATCAGATACTTTGTCCCAGCGACAAGAGAAAGGTAACCAAGACAGAACTTTGTGTTCCTGGCAGAAACCATCGCATCAGGAATGTACTGACTCTCAGAGGAACTAATTCCATCTTCACATACAATCTACTCCCAGCCGCCACTACCTTGCCTCTGTGACCTTGGGAAAGCTTAGAGGTTCTCGTCAGTAAGTGCTAAAGGACAATTCACGGTAGGCAATACAGCTAGAAAATTAATATGACACACTCGCTACTCCTCAGAAAGACTCCAGCTGAGCAGAAGTAACAGACAGAAATGGGACCCGTAAAACGATAAATGCTCTCATAAAGAAGACTCAAGTAGCTCAGCTCAGAATCCACGGGAGATGATACGATGACACTGAGCCACATGTCACCCTTACAGCTCAGGGTAGTCACCGAGGCTAAGGGCGGGAGGCAGGTAGCAACGGTAACCCTTCAGAAATTCTCTCAGAAACCACTGGGGGAAGGCGTGGGCCAGGCCTCCTGGGTCTCATCTGTCCAGGAAGTTCTATAAAGAGAAAGGCAGCAGCAACCTGCCTCCCAGGAGATCCCAGGGAGTGAAGGCTGAGGCGGGCGAATCACAAGTTTAAGACCATCCTGAGCAACTTAGCAAGACCCTGTCTCAAAACTTAGGAAAATGAAAAAGACTGGGGATGTAGCTCAGCACTCCCTGTGTTCAATGTGGAGTACTGAAAAGAGGGTTGCTTTTTTTTTAATTTTAAAAAGGGAGGGCCAGGGAAATAGCTCAGTGGTATAAGCACCTGCCTGGCAGGCGTATGGTCCCAAGCTCAAACCCCGGTACTGCCAAAAGCAAAAAGAAAAGAAAAAGGGTTCAAGCAGTAAATATTTCTAATCTGGCAGGATACATAATCTCTGCTGAACCATGCAGCAGGTCACTCTGGGACTGTGGAGAGGAAGAGACAAGACTAAACATGGGGACAGCAGCAAGCAACTCCCTGCGACACTCTGGGGAGTGAAGGATGTGGGCTCAAAGCCGAAGAGGAACAGCAGAGCAGAAGACAGCAGGTTCCAAGTCAGTTTTCCCTCAACAAAGTCTTCCAGTACTGAGGAAGCCATCGTGGCTACAGGAAGAGAAAGGACCACGGGCACAGAAACGCGTGAGTCGGAACGGAGGCTAAGCAACGCCACCCCCATTACAGCGGCTCAGGAGACAGCCGGAGCTCTGGCCTGTGCTTTCAAGAACGCTCGAAGAGGATAAGACAGGGCAGACACAAGACTGCCACAGCAATCGTGTCCAGAAACACAGCTTGAACTTACAGGCGGGCAGTGGGCAGGAGAGGACTGGAGAGATGGGAGCTGGCGGAGGCCTGGGCTAAGGAAGCTACGGCACCGAGCTTACGTAAGGGAACTCGACGCAGCCAGCCACGGCGAGATCTCGGTGTGGGCCTTCGCCTGTACCCGGACTGCACCTGCTTTCAATCCAGGGGGAAAGCTGACAGAACAGAAATGGTAAGGCCCACAAACTGAACGTGTTGACCAGCTGGTCCTTGGAAAACACTTGCTGACCTTGCTGACCTTTGTTCAGCCTTACTGAGGAATTACGTGCAGGAATAAGGAAAAGGAACAAACAAAGGCTAGTAAACTTCCTTTCCAAGTACCTGAGATGGAGACACTGTCTATCAAGAGGGGAAACACCAGCAACAAACATACTGGGATTCAGAAAGTCTTGGATACATAGGTACAGATTTTAAAGAGGAAACGCACAATGTAAAATTTAGCTCAGCATGGTGGCGCATGCCTGTAATCCCAAAAGCCTGATTCCACTTTGTCCGTGTCTGGGTACAACCTAGCCACTGATGAATAGGAAAGAGAGCTGCAATAAAGAAACCCAGACCTGACTCCTGAGGTGGGCGGAAGAACCCGGAAGGCAGGTCTGGAGACAGGGAAGGAGGGGCAGGCTGGTAGACGGTGGCGACACCATAAGAGGGCCTGACACGGCTTCAAACACGCAGAGGAAAGACAGAGAGAAGGCAGCAACATCTGGGAGTGTAAGAGCGCGGAGGACCCTGCAGCATGGGGCTCAGGGACAGCACACAACAGGATTCGACCTGGCTGAACAAGGGCAGAGCAACTGGAAGTGTGCAGGGAAGAGTAAGTTAAGAGGGCTTTTAAAGAGGGAAGTGGGGAGCCAGGAGATAGCTCAGTAGAATAAGCACTTGCTTGGCAAGCGCAAGGGCCTGAGTTCAATCCCCAGTTCCGCCAAAAATAAGTTTTAAAAAAAAGAAAGAGGGGAGTAGGGCCAGCCAAATAGCTCAGCAGATTTGGGGCTGGGGGTTCGATCCTGAGGCCTTCCATACCGGCCCCATCCCTGGGCACGCTGAGATGCCAACTGAGACTGGGTGTGTTGGCGCAAGCCTGCAATCCCAGCTCTTGGGAGGCTGTAAACAGACAGATCATTATGAGTCCAATCTAGTAGTGAGACCCTGAACAACCTGTAGACCCTTCCCTAAAATACAGAAATAAAATAAAATTAAATAAAGAGAGAAGTAAAGAAAGCAGTTCCCAGCGCCGGCCAGACAGCTGAGCAGATTAAAGCGCCTGCTTAGGCAGACACAGGGACTGGGGTTTGATCCCCAGCATGTCATGCCAGCCTGGCACTGGGGCACACTGAAACAGTGATTGAGACTGGGCATGGTGGCGTGTGCCTGTAATCCCAGCACTTGGGAGGCTGAAAAACAGGAGGCTCACTATGAGTCTGATCTGTGTAGTGAGACCCTGTAGACCCTATACTAAATACATAAAAGAAAGAATGAGAGAGAGAGAGAGAGAGAGAGAGAGAGAGAGAGAGAGAGAGAGCATGCAAGCAGTTTCCAGTATCCAGTGAGAAACAAAATAAGATCAAGTGGGATCAAAAGAACTGCAACATGGAGGCCCCAGAGAGAGCAGAGTCAGAGTCTGAGAACTTGACCCTCAGAGCTAAGCATGAAAGGCAGACACCAAGGTTGGGGACAGAAGTGGTGGCTGCCGGTGTGCAGGCCTGAGAGGGCCCTGGGTACCAGTGTCAGGCCAAGGAGCTGCAGAGAGCACTGACAGGGATACGCGAGCCACACGGAATAACGACAGGAACAAAGATGGAGACAGACGAGTCAGAGTCGAAAGGTGCTCTCAAATGACACAGGTAACCGGGCAGCCAAACTGTAACAGCTGGGAAGCCAGCAGGAGTGACCTGGTCTGAAGTTCTGTTTCTGAGGAGCTGGGACAGATGAAGAAGGATAGACAGGAAAGGTTTAGGACCGGAGGGAAAAGCGGAAGCCAGGACTTGCAGCCTTCTGTCCAGGGGACCAACGGACCCCTTCAGGCCGGGGATGTGACCTGCGGACTAACGGACAGGTGCTCGGTCTGGGGCATGTGTAACTCCGCTCAGATTCCCTTCTCACCTGAGAAATGTGGTAAACACCACTGCCTAGCCGTGCAGCAGTAAGAGGCGACCCTGGAGAGACGGACTGTACTCTGGGGCCTCCCGCTCAATGTGAGGCTTCTCAGGGCAGGGTGGAGGAAGGGCTGGCTCTGTACACCTGGGAGAAGGGAGCAGGCTACGCACCTCAGCGTCTCCGGGATGTGATCCACCTCCGGAGTGCGGCCCCGGCCCCGGCTCCTCTGAGCCATGAGGCGTGGAGTCGCACTTGCCTTTCTTGCAGCGGCCACCACAGGCTTTGTCCTCTCCTCTCTGAAGCACCTGCAGCCGGGAGATGAACGTGGCCTTCCAGGCTGTGAAGTCGGCTTCGATGCTGCCATGCCTGCTTCTGACCACGTCACAGTCACCCTCCCCTCGGGCCAGCACACGACGCGCCCCGAGCATCCACAACCACTTGTCTACACTTTTGCCAACCTGCAGGAGAAAGAGGTGAGTGAGCCCAGGGTCACAACCTCCAAAATCAGGCTTCAGATTACTCTGTGAAAGCCCAGAAGGGCTCTGGGCCCCACATCCACTATGACACCCGAGGCCCCGGATGTGCTCAGCAGGAAAGAACTTACAGCCCTCGAGCTCTGGCTGCAACCCAGAAAGGGCTGCGTCCTCCACACTTTACCTAACTTTCTGCACAAGATTTGTATTTTTAGCAAAGGGACAAAAAGACTTTCTAGAAGAAAAGGGTTTATTAATAAGGCTTTAACAAAAAGAATTTGAAAGCTACTCTAAATCATGCTCAAAACAAAATACTAACAAAATAAACTGGTTCCAAAAATGTAACCAGAGCTATGAGACCAAAGCCTCATTTTTTTTTTTTTTTTTTTTTTTAATTTTTATGTATTTGGTACAGGGTCCCACTACGCAGATCTGACTTGTGGTGATCCGCCTGTTTTCAGCCTCCCCAGCGCCAGGATTACAAACGTGCACCACCACTCCCAGACTCAACTGCTGGCTCAGCATGCCCCAGTGGAGGGGCCAGCACAGCATGTGGGACCGGGGATCAGACCCTGGTCCCTGCACTTGCCAAAGCAGGCGCTTAGTCCACTGAGCTATCTCGCCAGCCTGCAAAGTTTATTTAGTGGTAAAGTACAAATGCAATTGGTTTGTACTTTACTTTGCAATCAAAGCTTATGATTGCATAAAGTCAAAAATGTATTTAACTGTGACAGGCAGCAATTAAGACAACAGGGCTCGGTAGCACATGACTCAGAGTGCAAAGCTTAATAGGCTTCCTGAGTGGCAGGTCACGCAGGAAATAGTCACAGATCTGAGTTCTCTCATTCTTAGTCTACTGCCTTTGAAAATATGAGGGGAAATCCACACCAATGTGACAGTCACATGAATCCTATTAACGACAGCTGCCTGTGTCTCTCACAGCACAAACAGCACAGGAAAGCCCAATAGTCCCCTCTCAAGGAGGCTGTGCACTTACAAAACTTCTGGTGACCTTGAGAACCAAGAAAAACATAGGAGGCTCCATGATTCTACTTTTTAAAGTATAGAGAACAAGACACAAAAGAAAAGGATCCTATTCATTTCATTTAGAAAAATGACCCAAGAAAATAAAAATACTTCATGTTTCATTACATAAAGAACAATGAATGCTTTTCCTCTATTCCTCTTTAAAAATAAATGACTGGAAAAAAATAAATAAAAATAAAAATATAAAAATAAAAATAAAAATAAAATAAAATAAAGGATTGAAAGAAAATGAGTTAACCAGTATTAAGACTTAGCTTGGGATCCGCGGTACCGCAAAAAAAGGTACTTAGCTTGGGCCAGGTGTGGTGACACCTGCTTGTAATCTCAGCATTCTAGGAGACTGGGGCAAGAGGGTTGAAAGTTTGAGTCCTGCTTGGGCTACCTAGCACCTCAGCAAGACCCTATTTCAAAATAAAAATAAAAAATAAAAAGGACTAGACAGCTCAAATGCCACTCAACTGGTGAATGGATAAAGACGTGGTGTTTATGCAATGGAGTGTTACTCTGCTAAGCTCGAGACATTGCTAGCTAAATGGAGGGACCTTGAGACCATACTCTTAAGTGAAATAAATCATAGGTGTACATACCACGTTGCTCCTCTGGTGTGAGAAACAGAAAGGACTGAAATGTATAATAGGTATTACAAAATAGAAAATGTTCAGGTGGAGAGGGGAAGAAGGAAGGGAAAGGTAAAAAAGAGAGAGAGAGAGAGAGAGAGAGAGAGAGAGAGAGAGAGAGAGAGAGAGAGAGAAAAGGAGGGGAAAAAAGGGCCAGGGCCTGCAAGATAGCTCAGTGAAGTAAGCGCCTGGGGTTCTACTCCCAGCACCACATCCCGTGCCAGCCCCACCCCCAGCGCGCTAAATTGGCCACCAAAACCAGTTATAGTGGTGCACACCTGTAATCCCAGTGCTGGGGGGGCTGAAACAAGAGGATTACTACAAGTCCGAGCTACATAGTAAGACCCTGTAACCAAATATTTAAAAAAAAAAAAAAAAAAAAAAAGGGTTAGGGTGTAGTTCAGTGAAGGCCCTGACTTCAATCCCCAATCTGGAAAATAAATATTACTGTATAAAACAGGCAGTTGGCAAAACCCAGAGACTCAGGGGTTTCCACTGTACAAGGCCCCCTTGGGGACAGGAGGCTGGATTTCACCACCACGAGTCCACCACCCAGACACAACAAGCAGCCACTCGTACTCACTGTACTCAAGAGCTCTGTCCTGGGAGCCTGCGATGAGTCCAGCTTGGGCATATGAGGCAGGCGGCCACTATGAACAGCAACACGAGCTGGGCATAGTGGTGCATGGCTGTAATCAAAGCCCCTGGGAGGCTGAGGCAGGAAGATTGCAAGTTTAAGCCTAGCCTGGGCTACTTGACACTTTACAGAGCCCATTTGAAAATTAAAAATTTAAAAGGGAATTATTAAGTGAAATAAAGGGATTTATTTCACTTAAGAGTATGGTCTCAAGGTTTGTCCATTTAGCTAGCAATGTCTCAAGCTTAGCAGAGTAACACTCTATTGTATAAAAACCACATCTTTATCCATTCACCAGTTGAGTGGCATTTGAGCTGTCTAGTCCTTTTTATTTTTATTTTGAGACAGGGTCTTGCTGAGTTGCAACTCAGTGCAAAGGCCCTAGGTTCAGTCTCCAGTACAAGAGGGGAAAGAAAAAAAAAAAAAAGAATAAGCCAAGAAATTTGTTATTAACAAAGTTTGTAGTTTTCAAATACACATACATGTTTGTATTTTTAGCTCTTTAAATGAAGTAAAATTTGTCCCTGTAATTTCACACGCACTGACCTTGTTAAAGTGGCTCGGATAGGCAGAGTTTCCCAGGCCAAACACCGCATATCTCATACCCTTCAGGTAGGTTTTGCCAAATCGAAAATCACTGGCCGCGTCCTCCAGCCATCTGCAGAACCACTCTGCACTCTCAGGCGGCCGCCCGTCAGTGTACGTGGCGAGCAGGAAGGCACAGATGTTTTTACTGGCAATCTAACGGAGACAGTGACCATTTCACAGGGGTATCTGACACAAATTCTTAAGACATAGGTTGTGGTAGGGAAAAAAGCCCTTCCTAACAAACTTCACCATGTCACGCTAATCTCTGAGGATTTCCCTACGCTGCTCACTCTATTTTGTGACAGGACTTCCCCAAGTCACTAAATTGTTCAGGCCAAGCTCAAACTTGCAACCCTCCTGCCTCAGCCTCCCAGAGTGCTGGGATTACAGGCATGCACCACTGTCCCCAGCTCTACTTTCATCTGCTTGGTTAGGACTCGTGCCCCAAGAACGGCTTTTACTATTTCTTTTCTAAGCAAAGTTTCACTAGAAAGCAGCCACACTCACCCATTTTGTCTATGGCTATTTTGTGCCTGGACAGCAGCTGCACAGCCTGGAAAACTAAAGATACTGATTGCCTGGCCCTTTAAGAACAAACTGTGGCTCCCAAGCAAGCGTCTGTCCAACCTCTGCATCAGAATCACATGCAGCATTTGTGAAAAAGCATCCATCTCCACGGCTCATACAGTGGTGCACACCTGCAACTGCAGCTGTCCCGCTTCCCACCATCCTTGTGGATGGCACGGTGTTGCCAAGGACAACCTCCTCGGGCCCGGGGAGATGGCTCAGTGGAATAAGCGCTTGCTTGGCAAGCCCAAGGGCCTGAGTTCAATCCCTGGTTCCACCAAAAAAAAAAAAAAAGGACAACGTCCTCAATGCCAAGTGGGGGCCCCCAAGAGACTTAAACCACCCACACTGCCCACATCCACTGCACCCCAGGAAAACCTAATGCCCAGGAGAATGAGGCCCGGCCCACACTCAGTGTGGCTCCCACTCACGCAGCACTTCCACCCGCCAAGATTCCTTAGTGTGGAAATTAAGATTACTCTGAATATGCTGCATATTCCAGAAGTCAGAGAAATATTAAATTTCAGCCACAATTCAACAAAACAGTAAGACATTCACCAACCTCTTCCATCAGATGGTCATCTGGATCATATTCTTTCAGATTAATAACTTCCACAGGCAGATCTAGGGAGGCAACTGCTTTGGCAAGAATGGCTGCAAATCCCTAATTAGGAAAAACAATAAAAATCAAATGCAGCCTGCTCTACACCAAAAGCCCTCACGTCCTTGCGCTGGCAAGAGAAGCCAGCACTCCTCGCGCAGCACCTGTCCAGGGACTGCACTCTCCCGTCCCCAACACACGCTCTCGCCCTCGCCATCTTCATCCGACACCCGCAGAGACCGAGCAGCGCCTCGCCATGTTTCGCCCACTCCCTATCAGCACAGGCAGGACTCGAGTCACACCAGCTCTTCGCATCCAGCCACTCTGCGCCGCAGAATGAGCACACAGCAGCACAGAAGTGAAGAGCCAGGAGGGTGGAACGGCAAACAGAAGCAGGCCCTGGACAGAAGGCCCCAGGAACAGCGGCCGGAGGAGGAGAGGAAGGAGCCCGAGGCAGGGCCAAGCAGCCCTGACTTTACCCAAGACAAAGCACACAGAAGGTCACAGAAGGTCACAGGCTAGGCAACCCCGCCCCAGGTTCCCCAAGCAAGACACCTGCCAGTTCTTTGTCAGAGAAAGCTAAATGTTTAGAGAAAGCTGAAAGTTTGGCCAGATTCTAGCACCCCAAGAAAACATCTTCCCTGGTTTCATCTGCTCTTCCAACACCGACTCTGCAGGCACCAGCTCGATTAGCTAAAGCACCACCCACCGCACCAGACTCCGTTCTGGGCAAATGCACAAGCTGCTGCAGGCCTGCCCTCAAGCAGCTTATGTTTAACAGACAGAAGAAACAGGAAACAGAGAAAGCCCGATGGTGAGCGGCACCTTGGAGAGAAATGAATCTGGCTGGGGGACGGAGCAGGGCGGAGGAAACCTGGGACAAGGGTGTCTGTTAAAACATTAATACTAGGTCTTTGCTGGCCGACATAAAGCTCCTAAAGCCTCAGCTCTGCTGCTAAAGTCATTGGAGATGGCCCTGGTAGCTCCAGGACAGCAAGCCACAGCCAGAAGTGCCACACGAGGGACCAGGGGCACTGCAGCCCCTTCCACTTCCTGTCACTGATTGCAGAGGTTTCACTGGCCCAGGTAATGAGCCCCTACCCGACGGCGCTCGTGGGACTGCATGCGGAGGCCACATGCAGGGCAGAGGAGGAGCCAGCTCTGTTCACCATGCCCCCACATACTTCACCCCTCTCCCAGTTGCCTGCACAACTTAGGCTATTCACAAGAGGACGTAGGCCAGAAGTCAAGCAGTTCTGAGTTCTACCCATGGGCCTATGGAATTCAAGAACCTGTAGGGCAGCATGGAAACCGCAAGTTCCTACGTGGCCCTTCATGGGAGCTAAGCTTGTCCTGGACTGAGCCTCAGGCTGCAGAGCTCACAGTAACCCCTGGGACCAACCCCCCTCAAAGATAAAGTTAAGAAAAAAAAAAAAAAAAAAAAAGATAAAGTTAAGGCTTGAGCCAAATGGGAAGGCAGTGAGGAAGCAGGCTATATGGCGGCCCAGGCAAAGGGGCACTAAAGAAGGCTCCAAGGAGGGGACACTGGGCAAGGAGGTCAGCAGGACCAGAAGAGGAGGACCATGGTATGGGGCAAGAGTCAATCCACAGTCATAAGGGGGTCCCCTCAGCCAATGGGAGTGACAGGTCATGTGGGCTCTAACCAGACAGGAACATGATGTCACTGGGTTGTCAGGATCACCGAGGTCGCTGGGCTGAAGGCACAGTGGAGTCAGGCCTGGTATGAGCAGCACCAAAGCCAGGAGACCAAATGCTGTCCAAGACGGAGGTTGTCACCCAAACAGAACATGAGGATGGTTTGGAGGAGCAATAGGGCAGAAGGGGAGAAGGAACTAGAATCCAGATTAATCCAAAGTGCAAGACAAACTGGATTCACTGACAGACTAGATACAAGCTACAGAAAAGGAAGTCCAAGGTTTTTGGACTACGTGAATGCAAAAGATGAGCTTGTCTTTTAAAGAAATGATAAGGATTGAAGTAGAAGAGGTTTGGACAAAAACTCGCAAACACGAGGACGCTGACTTTGGGGTGCTTGCTAGGCATCCACACGAAGATCTGACACAAGCCAAGGGAACAAAAGGACCCGGGCAAAGCCCAACTACAGACCTGCGGGCCACCCACAGATGGAGGCGTCAGCAAGCCGGGACTGCAGGTCCAGTGCAGCCCGCCGCTTCATGTGCAGGCGGGCTAGTTTACTGTCCTAACCTCTATGGCTGCTTCCAGATTACCTCAGCAGAGCTGAGTGGTCACAACAAAAATCAGATGGCTCACAAAACCAAAATAAGACTTGCTAAGAAGATCATCCAGCTTACAGAACCTCACAGACAAAGTCCGCTAACCCACGACCTAGTGCGTGCCATGGAAAGGTATGCACACCTATCATCCCAGCACTAGGAGGCTGAGGCAGGGGGATCTAAGCAAGTTCAAGGCCAGCCTGAATAGCATAAAGACCCAGGCTCAAAAAGACCAAAAAAAAAAAAAAAAAGTAGATAATAAAATTCATAAAGGATGCTGTAAGAGAATGTAACGTACATACAGCTGTGCAAAGACACCCTCAGGGACTAGGCCCTGAGACACGCCTGTTTTAAAGGTCAAAGGACGAAAAGACACCGGCAACTGATACTGAGACAGCAGGAAAGGACTCAGAGGACGACGACGCACAAGAGCTAGCTGATGGGAGTATCTGAAACCTTCAGGACGGCCCAGGGCTAACAAGTCAAAGGAGATAAAGACAGAATAAACAACGCAGAAGTCACCAGGCAGGTACAAGCCACTGACGGGGCTTGGAAAACAAGGGGGGACAAATCAGAGACAGCAGGCACAGACAGAACTCCGCAAGGGCTTTCCTCCAAGTGAGCAGGACAGAGGTGGGGGGATCACAGAGGCAACAAATGACGCACCTGCAGTGTCCCACTCTGGCCAGGGTATCCCAGGAGAATGCACAAGGCTGCTCATGCACCAAGAAAAAATCCCCACTGCCTATCCCATCATTTTGTCCTGCAAACACAAAACCACACATGCCAAGAACATGGCAGGAAAGAAAACACCAACATCAAGAAAACTGAGAGTGCAAATAAGTCAGGATCAGAAAAAGGAATTCAAAAAATACAGTCCTAAACTACAAACAAGATACTACTATAAAAGTTGAAAAACCAAACAGTAATTTCAAAATAAGACCTGAGAGCTACCTCAGAAGCTGTGGCAGGAGGATATCAAGTTTAAGGTCAGCCTGGAAAATACAGTAACATGTTTCAAAAAGAAAACAATTTAGGCAGAAAAAAAAGTTAAAAGAACTATGAAAGAAAAGGGCTAACATCCAACTAACAAGAGTCCCAGGAAAAAAAACTGAGAAGAAATCTGTCCTCGAAATGTAGCAGAATTAATGCACACAAACCTCTAAAACAAGACTGCAAGTGTTTGCAACAAGGTTCAGCCTAGTCACTCACAAAATGCTCAAACATTAAGAGCAAAGATGACCCCAAAAGCAAAAGAAATCAAGCAGCCATTGACAGAGGAACACGGAAATTCATTTTCTTTCTTTTCTTTGGTGGAACCGGGGATTTGAACTCAGACCCTTGCGCTTGCCAGGCAAGCGCTTACTCTACTGAGCCATGTCCCTGACCCCTAAATTCATCTTCTTATCAGCCATGTTACCCGCTAGAAGACACAGGAGAAACAACTTCAAAGATGTGGAAGGAGAATCTGCAAGTCTTTTACCAAGCTAAAGGAGAATTACTCAAATGTGACCCTGAGCCATCAAAATATTCAGATACAGCTTTAAAATGGAAGACAGCTACCCCAGCCATAAAAATAAGATGCAGATAACATTAAACCGCTGGGATGTGACGTGGTGTTATGCAACTGATAAGGATTCAAAGTCCTTTTTATCATTGATAAACCCAGAAACAGAGCACAAGTAGGTTATAAGGAAAGAACCCTCTAGAAACGGTAACACAGGTTCGCTGTACACCTGGATATGCCATCACCTTTCAGATCTTTTAAAAACACACAGGGGTCTGAATAAAGGTTTTTATGAGTAACAAAGCAGACTTTGTCTTGGCTACTCAGGTGCCTTTTTGCCTTTTTATAGGTTTTTCCACCTCCATTGCTTAAGGCTGAACTTAAAAACAGCCTTTAAGGGGCCGGGGAGATGGCTCAGTGGAATAAGCACATCCCTGGCAAGCGCAATCCCTGGTTCCACCACAAATAAATCAATAACCTTTACTTTTAACATGAGTGAAGTACCTACCCACAGGCTAAACCTGGTGACATTATTCTACACAGCATCCACAAGAGGGCAGCAGAATCCTCTTTTGCAGTGCACAAAAATAACTTGATTTTGTTTCTAGTAATTTACTCTCTTGCCAGCCTGAGAATCTTTTCCTAGAAAGCACTAAATAGCTGTAGCCTTCCTACCAAAGCAACAGGTGGATCTAAGTACAAGTAGAGGCCAGGAGGCGCCTTTCACCTGAATACCTGCACGTGTATCTATTTTAATGGGTCTTTACCACCTTTAACACTATTGAAAATCAAAACGCATAGTTGCCGAAAGAGCTTAGTGAACACAACTGTTAACATTCTCTTTCCTCCCTCCCCCCCGAGCATCAGTACTGAACTCAGAGCCCTCTCCAAAAGGGTTCTTGTAAGATAGAAGCTTCAGAACAAAGACCCTTCATGTCAGGGACCACCAGACCCCACCTAACAGCTACACATGGGCACAAGAGAAGAAATCCCCCCATGGAGCCAGAAAGGAAAACTGTCTGACTGGGGAAAACAGGAGAAAGAGCAAAGAAAATCACACATGTAAGTCGGTTCACTGCTAATAGATGCTTCTGAAGAATGTTCTTAAAATGCCAGGAAACCAAAGAGAAGCCATCACATAAAGTTCTTACTTTTGCTGTGCCAGTCTGGGAACCATAAAAAATCTTCACTCCAGATACAAAGGTTTGCTTCTTTTGAAGAGCGATATAGCCATTTGTCATCAGACCCTGAGTTGCTTTCGGAACAGACTTCTCCTGGGAGTTCTTGGCCTTGAAAATAAACAACTGCACAAAAACCCATGAATTCCCAATCTTTTCCCAACTTCAGCAGAGATGAAAATGAGCAAAGACACTGATCGACCCACTTCATTATTCTGTTCATCTTTCTGGATGCCCATTCCCTCCAAGGTAAACCTATAGAGTCTTCCCGCGGTGTCAGTGAGCTTTTTGTGCCTGTCACAAAATACCTGGGACAATCAATGGAAAGGAGGAAAGACCTTGGGGCCCAGCTTGGGAGGTTTCATCCCATGGCTGCTTGGCCCATGGTTTGGGGCCTGTGGGAGGCAGCACACCACTGGCAGAGTGGGGAGCGAGGCTGCCCATTTCATGGCCACCCAGACCTAAAAAGAGCAAGAAAGGGCTGGTGTCCCCTACCCCTGCAAGGGCATGTCCCCAACGAGCTAGCTTCCACTCACTAGGTCCACCCCCTAAAAGTTCCACTGTTGCCCAAAGCACAAGCCTTGTGACCTACCGTTAGTATACAGCCCTTTCCAGGGACACTTATGATCCAAATGTACCGCTTCTCATCTAAGGGGTAGATGGTGAGTCCACAATCCCACAAATACCCAAACTGACAAACCCTCAAGACCCTTATATGAAACAGGGTAGTATTTGCATAGAACCTAAGTGCATCCTCCCTTATATGCTGAAATAATATTTAAACTGCTTACAATATCTAATACAATGTCAATATAGCAATAGTTGCCATACTGTAGTCTATTATAACTTATTTTCTAAAAGGTTAAAGACATTTTAGGCATTTTTAAAAAAATCTAGAGACCAAACAGAAAAGTGATTTAAAGTTCCTTTTTGGGCTGAGGAGATGGCTCAATAGGATAAGCGCTTGACTAGCAAGCGCAAGGATCTGAGTTCAATCCCCAGTTCTGCAAAAAACTAAATAAATAAATAAAGTTCTTTTTCATTTTATGTACGTCTCAAAGCATGAGAAAATCTGCACTCTAAATTCTTCATCAATGTGCTACCTAAATATTCCCTTTTTGAAAAGAAAAACCATACCACTTACCTGCTTCTTGGTGAGAACTTGGAAACAAATCCAAAGGCTAATACCAAGAGCAAAGCCCAAGTAAATGTAAAACCTGTACATCCATAATGATACTAAAGGCGAGGCGAGGGTCCAAACGTCCAGAGAAGGATCTAAGTTAAAATGATACACACAGGTAATTTTGTTTAGAGTCACATAATCAAAGCTTTCTCTCCCTGTTTTAAAAATTCAAAAGCAGGCCGGGGATATAGCTCAGCAGCCTCAATGCCTGCCTGGCAAGCGCAAGGCCCTGAGTTCAATCCTTGGTACAAAAAAAAAAAACTAATCTAATCTTAATACTCTAATAAAATAAAAGCACTTGATGGGTAATTACAAATTGATTTTGTTGTTTACTTCCTAGATAAAGCTTATAATAGTACCAAAAGGCACAGGCCTCTAGTTCCAGTGTTTCCGGAGGCTGAGGCAAGAGGATCGCCCCGCATGTGAGGCCAGCTTCAGCAACATAGTGAGTTCCTGGCAAGCTTTAACTACACAGGGAGACCGTGTCTAAAAATAAATAAATAAATAAATAAATAAATAAATAAATAAATAAATAAATAAATAAATAAATAAATAAATAAATATAAAGATTCTTTCCTTTTTTCCTATTGCAGTTTTTAAAACTTCTAACTTTGATCTAAGCCACAAAATAATCCATAATAGGCTCGAACTCGCGATGCTCCTGCCTCAGTCTCCCAGAGTGCTGGGTGTATAACTACGCTATCACATGTGCCCGACTCTTCTACATTTTTTTCTATTTCTTTTTTCTTTTATTAATTTTGTTGAGAAACAAATAGCAATGAGACAGTTTCAAAACAGGTCGGTAGGACAGTTACAATAATACATTGCATATTGTTGTCTTCGTAGTCCTTCTGCATTTTTGAAGACCTGCGGCTGCTAGGAAAGGGATAATAAGTGACCCCACGCCCCACTTTTTGAAAGGAGACGCTCAAGGGCCGGGCCGCAAATACAGAACCTGGGGGCAACTTCGAAAGGCGAGGCCTGAAATCTAGGGTTGGCAAGTGCTGCTGACAATAACCAGAAGTCCCAAGCACGTGGGGAAGGGGTTTATTCTGCCTTTTATTTGGGGTGAGCTCAGTTTCCTTCCAAACGCACCCCCAGCCACAAAAGGCAAAAGCGGAGGGTTCCCGCTCGCCCCGGCGCGGCTGTCGGGAGCTGAGCCCCAAGAACACCTCTGGGGGGAGGAAGGCAAAGCCGCCTCCGCTCCGCCATCCAGGGTCCCTTACCCATTCTCCTCGGAGGCCGAGTCCCGAAGGCCGACGGGAAAACGGGCTCTCGGACCTGGGAGGCCTGGGGGCTGGCACTAGCAGCAGGTGCAGGTCGCAACTATAGCTCAGCATTAGTTTTCCTCCCAGCCGTCAGGCTCGGGGAAGCCATGCCACTTGCAGGCTCGCCGGATTGGACCGAGCGGAAGGAGGCGGGCCCCACCGGAAGCCCAGCGCTCCAGAGCAGGAAGCGAGGGAGCTCCCAGAGCACTCTGATTGGCTCAGAAGGGAAAGAGGCGGACCTAGAAGGCCGACCGCCCAGAGCTCCGGGCTCAAAAGCTTGGGGTCCTGCTGGGATTGGCTCAGAGAAAAAAGAGGCGGGCTCAAGGGGAAGCACCGCCCAGCATTCTAGAAGTACCTCCCAGAGTGCCCGGCGACCCTAGGGGGCACGCTTCCCGCTCCTTTTTATTGGCTCAGATTGGGAAAAGGCGGGCCCGTTAAGATATGAGTGGCTTGGGGTCGGGAGGGAGACTGAAGAGAGGTAAACGTAAGGAGGGCGATAGTAGAATCAAGTATCGGGGCACAGGCCCTTCTCGATCTCCAGAAGAAAGCAACTGTAGGAAGCCATGATTTAGGGAATAAAGGTATAAATACTGAACTATTTAAGGCTAAAAACATAACCTGGTTTAAAGTATTCCAACGAAAAAAGGGGAACAAACCAAGAATGGCAAAGTGTTGCTAATTGTTGAAGAGGGTGGTGGCAATTTTGTTGTGAGGTTTTTGTTTTGTTTTTCTGTACTTTTTTATGTTAAATTTTCCCCTAAAATGGCCAAGGTGGGTGTGGCCCCGAAACTCTTCGGGACTGTGTAGCTACAGTGCTGTGTTTCCACCCGGTCACCAAACATCAGCGGCTCGCCTATCAGCGCTCATTGGCACTCCGGCTGCAGTAAAACGTCAAGAAAAAGCGCCTCCTTTTTTAGGATGCGGAATGATGTCGTAAAGAGTCGCAATGCGCAGGCGTAGTTGTAATACGCAATAGTGCGCAGGCGTAGTTGCTCCCCGCCGCACCCTGCTGCGCCTGCGCCATAAGCCCGCCCCGCCCCTGTCCCCGCCCCTCTTCCCGCGCTGTGGCGGAGTCCGCAGTGACTAGACTGGCTGTACGCGCTGTACTGTCGTTACAGCCCCGCCCGACGGGTAGTTCGCGCAGGTCGGCCCTGCCTTGCCGGACCTGAGGTCCGTGAGCAGCTACCATGTCGATCTTCACCCCGACCAACCAGATCCGCCTCACCAATGTGGCCGTGGTACGGATGAAGCGCGCCGGAAAGCGCTTTGAAATCGCCTGCTACAAAAACAAGGTCGTGGGCTGGCGGAGTGGCGTGTGAGTGACCCCTGTCGCGTGTCTTCCGAAGCGGCCTCCCTGTCGCCAACTCGAGAGGACGGCCAAGCTGGGGGTGCTTGCCAGGGAATGAGGGGAAACCTGTTCCTGGCGCGGGAGGGAGCGGTCGCGGTCCTTCTCGCGCCTGGCGCGGAGCCCGGCGTTCCCTCCCTTTAGTGGGCCGGAATTGGGTGGTTGGTTTGCGTGTGGCGAAAGCTGCGGTCGAGAAATTCCACAGTGATGGTCCTTTTCCCGGAGCGATTGTAAAGACTCCAATCCCAGTCTTCCGAGTACGATCGTGGCTGTCGTGTCTCTAAGGTCACGGATCCGGGAGCCCCGGGAGTCACCGAGGGGCGCCGTGTCTTCGCTGCGGCCGCCGCCAGCCCCACCCCAGGTTCCTGCAGGAGCCAGTAAATGGGAATGCAAATGGGGCTGCGAGTTTTGAAACTGTTCCCTCGACACTACAAGTCTTTTAGGAATCTCCTGTATCTTGTTATTCTGTCGTGGACCTCTTACATTCAAATGTCCGCGAATATGCAGATGTCAAGTGTATTTACGTAGGCCTTTGTCTCCTGCACCACCTCCTTTCCACAGGGAAAAAGACCTCGATGAAGTTCTCCAGACCCACTCGGTGTTTGTCAATGTTTCTAAAGGTCAGGTGGCAAAGAAAGAAGATCTTATTAGTGCATTTGGAACAGATGACCAAACAGAAATCTGTAAGCAGGTAAATGCTTCCACCTACAGCATAAGAGAGTCAACATTCAGTTGTAAAAAATATCCTTTTGGGGGTGGAGAAAACAGTAACACAAAGTGGAGTGCACAGTGTCGGTTGGTTCGGTTTGGTTCATTGGTTGTGTTTTTTTGTTTTTTGGGGTTTTTTTGGTGTTGGTTCGGTTAGGTCAGGTGGTAGTGGCGACTGAAGCTGGGACCTTCAAGCTAAACTACATCCCTAGCACTTCATTGTTTTGAGACAGAGCCTCCCTAGTTGCCCAAGCTAGACTGGAACTTATAGATTCTCGTGCCTCAGCTTCATAACATGCTGGGATTCCAGATGTGCACACCCAGCTAATATACCAGTTCTAAAAATAGAGGATATAGCTCGGCGGCATAAGCACCGCCTGGGAAGCACAAGGTCCCAAGTTCAGTCCTCATTGCCACAAAAAAGAATAAATTAATAAAAATATAGGGGGCTGGCCAAATAGCAGATTAAAGCAAGCAGGTGTAGGGGCTGGGGGTTTGATCCCTGGGCCTGCCATGCTAGTCCTGCCCTGAGGGCACCCTGAGATGGCTATTGAGACAGGGTGTGGTGGGGCACGCCTGTAGCCCCAGTTCTTGGGAGGCTGTAAACACTATCAAACTCAGATCACTACAGCTCCAATCTAGTAGTGAGACCCTTCCGTAAAAAATCCAAAAAAAAAAAGGGGCTGGTGAGATGGCTCAGTGGTCTAAAGCACCTACTTAGAACAAGCTTAGCAAAGCACAGGGACCGTGGTTCAATCCCCCAGCACCACATGCC